GAAGATGAGAGCTAGAGAAGAGAGAGAGAGAGAGAGTAGACGGAGAGAGAGAGAGAACAGACAGTTTTTGTAAGTCACCGATGGTAGTGATATCAGTTAAGAGAAACGAACGCACACAGATAGATCAACAGTATGCATGGAGATGTATAACAATAGAGATATATATTAACTACATATATTCAGTCATATTCATGTAGTTCATATATACAGTGTATATATATAATATATATATAATATATATATAGTGTGTGTGTGTGTGTGTGTGGTGTGCGCGCCGCGCGAGGGTGTGTAGTGTGTGTGAGCGCGCGCGTGTGTGTGTGTGTATGTGTGTGTGCGTGCGTGCGTGCGTGCGGTGTGATGCGTGCGTGCGTGGCGCGCGTGTGTGTGTTGTGCGTTCGTGCGTGTGAGTGTGCGTGCGTGAGTGGTGTGTTGTGTGCTGCGTTGCGTGCGTGCGTGCGTGCGTGTGCGTGCGTGCGTGCGTGCGTGCGTGCCGTGCGTGGGTGCGGAAGTGTGGTGCGTGTGTGTGTGTGTGTGTGTGTGTGTGTGTGTGTGTGTGTGTGTGTGTGTGTGTGTGTGTGTGTGTGTGTGTGTGTGTGTGTGTGTGTGTGGTAACTCACCAATGGTAGTGATCACAGTGAGCGAGTAGAGGAAGGCACCGGAGAAGGACCACTGCTCTCTCGCGTCGTTCTCGTCCTTGCCATCATATCCCTGCTTGACTTTGGCGATGACCTCTGTCTGGAAGCGCTGCAGGTAGATACCCGCCTCTGTCGTCCAGTTCTCCTTCCACAGCACGTTAAACCTCATCGTCATGTTCCACAGATCAGCAACGGTGGCATCGCGCAAGTGTTTCACCTCCAGTCGCTTATTGATCTCGTTCTGACCTTCGAGCGCCTGGAAGGTCGCGGCGCCCATGATGGAGTAGCCGACAACGAGAGCGCACAGGCCGATGTGCGAAAAGAGAAAGGCGGCGAGTTGTCGACAGCAGGTTCTCAGCTTCTCTCGTCGCTCGGCAGTGGCAGCATCCACCTGACGTTTCTTGAACATGTTTTTGTCCCGCCGCGGAGGAGGGGAGGCGGTGGGAGGAGGGGGAGGGGAGTGTCCAGGTATTATCTGGATCTATCTCGGCTCTGTGCTGGCGGACACACGTACAACTCCCAGTACACGCGTGTGCGTGCGTTTGTGTGTATATATAGCTCGCCGGATGTAGTCTGAGATCAAAGATTGAGCTTATGTAATGATGTCTCTGACGATCTAACACCAAGCATAGGTTAGGTATAGGTAACACTTGGCAACACTAGGTATAGCGTCGTAGATTTGTGCACACACTGACTCGGCGCTTAAAGAGAATTCGCAAGTTTGTGTGCACGTGCAAGGCGATCACGGCTTTCATTGTTTCAGAAGCCGTTGCGCAATTATGTTTTCGCTCTGTAGTCAGCGCTGCTTCGCGCGCCAATCGTAAATCGTTGTGAAGCAACAGCATCTCGCATGCGACCTCTACGCACAGGCCGTCACTCAAACACTGTCACACCGTGTCACGTAGCGCGGAGGACGGCGGATGTTCGGAGCGGACGAATCGGGTCCGCATTGTCTTCGCGTGTGTTAGAGTGCGCGCACGCGTCAGCCCCCCCACCTTCCGCGTTTCCGAGTGACGTCACGTCAAGCGTGTTCTACGAAAATCGCTTCAATTTTAATTAAAAGTCATTAAGCGACTCGATCGATAGAGCGAGCGCACTCGCTATTAACACCGGGTCTAAACGCAGCCTCGCGGGGCGCGTGTGCGAGAGACGCACACGCCAGGTGCCAGACGCAGCAGCGGCGGCGGCGGGGAAGGTCGCGTTCTACCTCCGCTCGCTAGATACTTGGCGGATCTCCGCACTCGTACACGGCAGCTGCGGTTGCTCGCCACCTCCTCCCCGCGTCGCGCGACGGCGGGCATGGCGACGACGATGATGACGATGACGTTGACGATGACGATGACGATGACGATGAAGATGACGATGACAGTCACGAGCGATTCGTACCTCGTTAAAACGCGCGCACCTTACGGAGCAGTCGCGTACACGCGCCACAGATGTTCTGGAGAATTCCCGATACGCGCAGGCACGGACGCAGGGGGGTAGGCAAGTAACCGACAACAATTCCCGCTGCACGTATGTCCGGGGCACCGCGCGCGTGCGTGCGGGCGTGCGTGCGTGCGCGAGGAACCACTCATTACTGCCGCTCCCGCCGTCACGCGTACGTCAACAGCTGCGGACGAGCAGCAGGGCTCGATCATAGGGGAATCCCTGCTGTGACAGAGAACTACCCGATGTCACCGCCCTCATGTACGATACTCACGTAAGACGCATTAGCAGTAGAGGCTCTTGGCATCCCTGCCGACGACAATGACCTCGCTAACACCGCCTCCTGCTACTCTAGAACCGCCTCTCGCTACTTATGTATCACGTATAAACACGCTGTCGTACCCACGGCAGACAGGGTGGGAGGGTAGCCTTCCGCGTGGTATACACGATGATGTATGTATGCGCGGCTGCACGTGTTCACGTCCGCGTGCGACTAGATCGGATGCTTACATCCACGGGTAACTAGATCGGATGCTTACATCGGCGATGTTCAGATGTTTAGATGTTGCGTTGGTCGCATCGTCGTCGTCGACGTCGCGGCTCCGCGTGTTGTGCGCTGATGGTCACTAGCCGCCGCCGCCGCCGCCGCTGCTGCTGCTGCTGCTGCTGCTGATGATGATGAGGCTGTTGCTGCTGCTGATGATGATGCCGCACACACGTTGCTGCTGTTGGTGTCATTCACAGCCACCGCCCCCGTAGCAGCATCGCTCCAGTGTAGTAGCGTCGGTCTGCTCACATTTCCGCCTCCCATCTCACACAGGGCTGCCATCGCCTGAACCATTGGTACCCACGCTATATCTCTCTTTCTCTCTCTCTATATATATATTACGCTGGTATGGATGAGTGTCGCTGGTACGTGTGTATAAAGCAGGAGTACCGCTGTTTATCATTTATCACTGGTACCGCTACATACCGCGTGCACGGCTTGATTCCACTGGTACCGCTATATCGCGGTATATACCACGCCGTTGTATCTGCTATGGCATCGGTACCGTTATGAACCGCTACGGCGTCGGCAACAGGTATAACAGTGGCGTCGCTATGTCGCGCGTGTACCGCTATAAACCGCTACCTGGCATTTATGATGCGCTGCCACAGGTATGGCGCGGATGCCGCGATATTGCCCCCAGTAGACATCGGTATGTACCGCTATCCGGTACCGCTATATATATTCCGCTAGATTCCACCAACAGGTACATGTGCACCTCGGGCCGGTACTGCTATATTCCACGCATACCGCTATCCGGAACCGCTATGTTCCACCAGCAGGTACCGTTATATATGTTCCGCTAGATTCTACCAACAGGTACATGTGCACCTCTGGCCGGTACTGCTATATTCCACGCATACAGCTATCCGGAACCGCTATGTTCCACCAGCAGGTACCGTTATAAATATACCGATATGTTCCAGCAGCAGGAGCAGTTATATATGTACCGCTATATTTCACCAGCAGGAACCGCTATGTTCCACCAGCAGGTACCGTTATAAATATACCGATATGTTCCAGCAGCAGGAGCAGTTATATATGTACCGCTATATTTCACCAGCAGGTACCGTTATGTTCCACCAGCAGGCACCGTTAAATATTTACCGATATTTTCCATCAGCAGGGACCGTTATATATGTACTGTTATGTTCCACCAGCAGGTACCGTTGCGTACCGCTACGCTTGCGCCAGCAGATAGAGATGCGATGCGATGCGATCTCCGTCGCTGCTGATGCTGCTAATGCGAACACGCGGCGTGCGCGCGTCCGCTGCCTCGCTGCTGCTGCTGCTGCTGCTGCTGCGTCATTCCCACAAACGACGTCATCATCATCATCATCATCGTTATCCCGCCTGGAATCGAGCGAGCGAGAGAGAGAGAAGTCAGTTAGTATTGCATCAACTCGCTGGGTAGGCGCGCGCGCGGGCTGCAGCGCTAGAGCCGTGGAGTTATGGGCGAGGATATGTACGGGGCTGCGGCGGGCTGCGTGCCGAAGCGCCGTCTGGTGGCGGGTAAGTGAACGAGGAGGACGGGAAGTGACGGTGGTGTATTGATCTAGCGGTGACACTATTTTTCTCTGTCGTCTCCGTATTTTATTATTACTGTTTGTGTAACCGCCACGACTAGCAGCAGCAGGAGCAGCAGCAGCAGCAACTGTTATCATCACCATCATCATTTCGTTATCATCGTCATCATTACCGCCACCTCCATCATCATCAGCATCATCATCATTCACCGTCATCATCATCATCATCGTTATCATCATCATCATCATTGTCATTATCATCATCATCATCATCATCATCATCATCATCTTTATCATCATCATCAGCAGCAGTAGCTGTCCTATCATCTGTATCGGCTGCGCGTGAGCACCATACAGACGCAGACGACAGAGCACGCGCGCGCGCACACACACACACACATACACACATGCGCGCACACACACACACACACACACACACACACACGACACACACACACACATACACACACACACGACGACGACACACACACACACACACCGTCGTGCGCTGAGGCGTGCATGAGCGTCTGCGTAGTATTACTCTACGTGTGCGCGAGGGTGCATGAGCGTCTGCGTAGTATTACTCTACGTGTGCGCGAGGGTGCATGAGCGTCTGCGTAGTACTCTACGTGTGCGCGAGGGTGCATGAGCGTCTGCGTAGTACTCTACGTGTGCGCGAGGGATTAGTATAAATACATGGCTGTGTGTGTACGTGCGTCCGGTCGAGCGTACATGCGTGCGTGGGTGGTTATATGCGTCTGTAAGTGTGCGCTTGCGTGCAAGCGTGTGTGTGCATGTATGTTGGGAGAGCTGTATACGTATATATATACGTGCGCGAGGCAGTGTATACTTGCATGCGTGTGTGCTTTCGGTGCGACACGTGCGTGCTGATAGGTGTTACAGGGGTTGCGTGCGTATATTCTATATGCCGCGTGCCATTGTAAATGCACATGGTCCGTGCTTGGACTTTCACTCGCACACTCACGCAATCCGGCGACATGTAGACTACGTTACGCTACGGCGAAACGGACATACGATAATCGCATACGATCGTACCCGCAATTAATTGAATTTATCTTTCTAATAAATCGTCGGTTTCATTACCGATATTATACTTGAATTGCCATTGCAATTTTGCGACCACCAGATGGCGCTACGAGCAGTGGCGCCGTTAGATCGAGACGTCCATCTTTCAAATGCCTTTTAAAAAATTGCTTTTGATTATCGTGAAACAGCGTTATGCATTCTTGGCGATGACAATGGCGTATTCGTTTTGTTTTCGATCGTACGGTCGTGACATTTTAATTATGGATGATTATGAGGATATTGATGGCGCGTGCTTGCGTGTGTGCGTGTGTGCGTGTGCGTGGTGCGTGTGCGTGTGTGTGTACATATATATAGAGTGTGTGTGTGTGTGGTGTGTTGTGTGTGTGTGTGGTGTGGTCGGTGTGTGTGTGTGTGTGTGTGTTGTGTGTGCCGTGCTGTGCGGCGCGCGAGTATGTGTGTGTGTTGTCTGTCGGTGTTTGTGGGTGTATGGGTGTGTGTGTGTGCGTGCGCGCGCAGCGAGTATGTTGTGTGTGTTGTGTGTGTGTGGGGTGTATGTGAGTGGTGCTGCGTCTCGGCGGCGCGCGCGT